TTGGAATTGGCTAAGTGATAAGATTTGTCTTCCTTTTATCTGAGGAGAAGCATGAAGCCCCCCTCCCCTGCAGCCCACAAGGCACTTCTTAGAGAGGATCTCAGGTTCTATCTTGGTATAACAGGAAGCCTGTAATTTTGATGCATCCAGCAATGGAGGTGTGGTTGTCAGTCTCCTTCTCCTTTTAAGTGTTCCCTTCACTACCTTCTTCCATGCAGGTTTTTGTTAAAAGACAAAGCCTTGTTTTAAACTCGGAGTCTGTTACCTTATTTTCCACAACAAAATCAATCCAGATAAGAGAGCCAATATGAAGAGAGACTTCATCAAGTAACAGGGATGTGTCTCTTCCACTGAGCAGTTCTTGGCTACCCACACCAGACTGGGGTTGAGAGAAGCAATTTCAATGTTATCTGCTGTCCAGATGGTTTCTCCTATCTGAGCTTCCGTTTTCCTCTCAGGCTTGAATGCAGTTCCCTCCTGTGCCTAATAGCTGACTGGCTTGGGTTGGAGTGTCTAGGGGGTGGGGTCCAGGAAATTCCTGTCTTTGCCCACCTGGGCTGCCCAAGGGAGGTTTCTTTGGAGAGATCTTGAGACAAGCCAGGGGTGAGTCACTCTGGATCGACTCAGTGTGCTGTGTCAGATGGAAGACAGCAGTAATGAGTGGACATGAGCTAGGGAGGACATGGCAGGTTGAGCCCATGAGGAGCAGGCAAATGAACACGCTACATCTAAAGACTGAAGATGGGACCTCTGTGGCTCAGGACTGGAGAGCGAGCAGACTCAGAGCCATCTCATCTTGGATGTAGTCAGAGGAGTCTGTGGTTGCTAGGTTGGGCATCTGTCATGTATAATCTGAATTCCCATGCCAAACTGCGGGTGATGAATTAGGGTGTCTGGCTTCCTCCAACTTCTTCTACCTTTGGGTAGATTTGATCAGACAATCGATTGTTTTGGAGGAAGCACATAAATTAGGATGGGTAATGAACATATTGATACTGTATTTGTTTAGAAACTATTTAGGGGGTTTGTAAAGGCATAATGTTGTCCTTATATATGTGTGGACATATTCTGTCTGTTCCACTGGTAGAATTAAAAGTGTCAATTAGGGCTGGCCCTGTGGCTTAGTGGTTAAGTGCGTGCGCTCTGCTACTGGCGGCCTGGGTTCGGATCCCGGGCGCGCACCGATGCACCGCTTCTCCGGCCATGCTGAGGCCGCGTCCCACATGCAGCAAATAGAAGGATGTGCAACTATGACATACAACTATCTACTGGGGCTTTGGGGAAAAAAAGGAGGAGGATTGGCAATAGATGTAAGCTCAGAGCCGGTCTTCCTCAGCAAAAAGAGGAGGATTAGCACGGATGTTAGCTCAGGGCTGATCTTCCTCACACACAAAAAAGTGTCAATTAAATCAAGAGAGCAGGTCCCGTACAGTAAGGACTGGGAGAAAGAGATGAGATTAGGAGGAGGGAGCCCCAGAGTACGGCCACAGTGAGGAGGTCCAAGAGCACAGCTGGCTGTTGACTAAGGGAGCAGAAGGTGCTGCCAAGAACACACTCAGCAACCCCCACCCCACCCCAGTTGGTTAGAAGGTCTCCTGTAAGAAAAAGTGCAGAGTCTTGCTCCGCCAGCTCAGTGATCTATGCAGCTGCCACTACTTTCATCCTTAGGTCTTCCTCTCTATCCCACTTGACTCCCATTGCTGAGCAGCAAGAGACTTCTTTCCTCCCCAGGAAAGATTAAGAGAAAGCAGATGTGTGCCTGAATGACCTGTGTAGTTAACAGCAGTCCTGGGAAACTCTGTAGCACTTCCTCAAGGACTGGACTGATGCCTGTATTGCAAGAAAAGCTCTAAACAAACTAAGGAAACTGTGATTAGAAGTGGAGCACTGAGGTCTTGCTAGCCACACCTCGGGGAAGACACAGTGGATAGAAGATGACGACATGAGGGACAGACTTGGACAGAAGGAAACAAACTGACACAGCAGGCCTTGGCACATACAGGGTGGGCACCTGCCTGTCCCGCCTCCCCTGGCATGGCAGAGACCATTATCCACAAATCAAGGGTCTCATGAATCCAGATGGCCTCACTGGGGGCAGCATTGTGACCCAGGAGGGAGGCTGGACAGGTGGTGGCGGGGCTTATTCCCTTGGTGACTTTTGTAAATTGGGAGCAGTGTAGCAGTCAGCTGCTTGAGCTATCCCCTGTCCCTTGCTGACCCTTGCTGACACTGAGGAGGGTAGAACCCTCCCAGAGTGGGTAGTCGAGAGAGTCAACATCCAACTATCAAAATCCCACTCACTCTTCAAGGCCCAGCTCATCTGTCATCTCCTCTGTGAAGCCTGCTCTGAATCCCCCCAGTTACTTGGATTGGCATTTCCCTTTTAATTCATTCCACCGTTGGTTGTGCATAATTGCTCCCCTTGTTAGACTTCAGCTCCCAGGGGCAGGGACTGGGTCTCCCACAGTGCCCGGAGCAGGGCTGGTTCATCGTAGGCTCTCAGTGTGGCTGTGACACTGAATGAGTGACCGGAGGCTGACACGCTTAGGCACACACGTGGAGCCCTCTCCTTGCCCTGTTCTTGTTGGTGAGATTTGTCGGACGGCTCATTGGTGTGGGTTGTATATGGTGCTCGTGGACCACACCTCACAGCCCAGAGCTGGGGGGTCACCAGGCTTTAGGGGTATGGGGGGTAGGAGCCAGAGTGTCCCAGCCTCCTTTGTCCTTGTGGTCCATGTGTCTGTAGAGGAAAGGGGACCTATCTTCACAGGCACGTGGCCTTAGTGTCTAGGGCTTGTTTCAAAGTTCTGCTTCCCTTCCATAGTAAAGGTCGCCAGAGAGAGAATGGACACATCGAAGAGGATGGAGCTGGCATGGGTGAGCTGGAGAACTAGCAGCAAAGGGAACACTCATTTACTGTAGGAATTCAAATGCCCCTCCTCTGTGAAGCACCCTCCCACCCCTCCCCAGTGTCCTCCTGCAAGCGGAGTTCCTTGCTCCTTTCCCTCTGCAGCAATCTGCTCACTCCTCTTACCTCAGCCCTTCCAGTGCTGTACCACGTCTCCGCCCTCTCTCCCCTACTCCCATCACTGCACTGTGAGCCCCTCAGGAGCAAGGACAGGGTCTTCATGTGTCATGACACCCGGTGGGAACTCCCTGATATTTCTTAAATGGGTGAAGAGATGAACGAATGAGTGAATGAATGAATGGGCTTCAATTGCTGTGAAGATTAGGGAGGCAGAGATTCACAGAAGGAGTTCTTGACCTGGGTTAGATTCCAGCTCCGCCACTTACCAGCCGTCTGACCAGCCACGGGTCCTGGCTCCCTCGTCCATAGAACGGGGTAAATAACACTGACGTTAGGGGCCTGCTGGAGGAGAGGGACACTGCTGCCTGATGCGGTGACTGTCACTTGATAGACACTCAACAAAGGGAAGGTATGAGGCTGCTTCACTCAGGTGCTGCAGGGACCCCAAGCCTCTGCTGGTATGCAATGGGGAGGGAATTTAGGGGTGCTGACAGTAAATTGGGGGTGCCAACTGGCATCCAAAACCCGTAGCTGTCTGCTACATTACTATGATCATAAGTGCAGCTCTCAGGTAGAGGGAGGCAGAGAAATGTACCTATTTTGTTCAGCTCTGGAGACTGAGGCCTGGGGAGCCTGTCTGTTGAGTAACCAGAGAGAAATGGCTTCAGGAAACTGAGAAGCATTCCTTCATTCATTCAACTGGCATTCATTCATCACTGGGCACCGACTGCATGCCAGGCCCTGCCCACTCACTTCTACAACAGCCAGGGAGGCGGGCTGAGCCGGGTGGCAACTGAGCAGAACTCACCACAAACTAGTCTTTGCACCCTTAGCCTGAGAGAGCGGCCCAGAGAAGGCGGCAGTGAGTTGCCAAGCATCGAATGCCTTCTGTGGGTGAGGGACTCAAGGCTCCTGATCAGACTGAATCACAAGAGCCTCTGAGCCAGGCAGGTTTTCTTTTCTCAGCTTACTGATGAGGAAACAGAGACGGGAAGTGAAGTGATCGGACCCTCACAGCTCGGTCAGGACGCGGGGGAGGAAAGGTTAGGGCCTGGGTCCTTTGAGGTTTCCCCAAGGCTGCAAAGGAGGGCTGGAGGCCACTTCTCAGCTGTAACCCAGCCTGGCGTGTTGGAGGACGGGTCCCGACTAGGACAGCTGGTGCCATCTTGCAGAGTTTGCAGGAAAGCACTGTGACTTTTCCTACCCTGGATCTGTTGCATCCTTGCTCTTTCTTCATTTGCTTCCGTCCTCTGCTTTGTTGGTTTCACTTCTCATTTCCAGGCTGGCCTCTGCCAGAGGGCGATTCCACATTTTTCTAGCAGCCTGTGGTTTGGCCGCCCCCCATCTCATCCCCAGACATTGGGCCAAGAGGCCCAGCATGTGCAGGGGAACGTCTAGTCCCAGCTTCCCTGCCAAGTTCAAAAGCCAGCAGCTGCATCCACAGGGCCTGAGGCTGTGCAGCCAGAGCCTGTCACTGTTGCTGCACTAATGAGCATTTCCACTCTGTGGGCCTGGGGGTGACAGCTGGGGTGGGGAGGGGCTGGTGTCTGAGACTGGTGTGGGAACAGCATCCGTGGGAACCGGCTGGATCGCTCACCACCAAGGCTAACGCGGCCCCCAGGGCACCGAGGTATCTGATCACGGTGAAGCTTAGGGGCTTCCTGCACCACTTTGCAACCCGAGGACTTGGGTTCAAATCCCAGCTCAAACACTTCCTAGCTTTTTGAACTTGGGCAGGTTAATCAACCTCTTTGCCTCTATTTCCTCATCTGTGAAGTGGGGAAAACAATAGCATCCACCTCAAAGTGGATGGCCGTCAGGATTAAATGAACTAGTCCTTGTAAAGCATTTAGTTAGTGCTCGGTAAACGTTACCTGCTCTTTTCTGGTCCTCTGCCACTCCCTCCATTCCCCACCTCCCTCCTGCCCTTCACTTGCGCCTCACACCTACTACTCAAGGCATTCGTTTCCCATTACCAGCCCGCACTGACTGTCCTAAGATGCTTCCCCTTCTTGTGCCTCTCGACGCTTCCACGATTGAGTTTGCAATCTGTACTCACATGAGCTACACAGAACATGTGCTCTGGGTCAAGGATAGAAAACAAGAAAGAGCAAAGCCAGCCATTGCTCCAGGCTGGGCTACCACGGAAGCACCAATAAGATGAGGCTCCGGTGTCCTGCTTGGTGGACCAAATAGCCCTCCTGATCCTGGGTTTCTTGCCTGGAGGGTGAAATATTTGACAACTCAGAGGCACCCTGACCAACCAGAATGGACCCCGGCCACAGTGCTGGAGTACGGGGCATTTGGGGAGCGGAGGGTGGCAGTTCCTGACCAACTGGCAAGGAAGTACTTTAACAATTGACATTGCTGCACAGACATGTCTGGGTCTATAGCAGCTCTGCCGATGGGAAGAGCCAGTGCAGAGCAGCAGCCTGTGAGGAGGCTGGGTGGAGCGAAGGCGAGTCCTGTTCTCCTCTCTCCATGCTCACATGACAGAGGGTGGAGAGAATTAAGTGGCCTTGAGGGGCTAGAAGTGTGGGCTGGTGCTAACCGTGTTGGCTTTGGCATCAAACCATTCACTCATAGAGCCTTGGCATCTTGAACGAGTTTTTAACCGCTGAGAACCTTGGTTACCTAATCTGTGAAATGGGTGCAATAAAACCTGCAGGGCTGTTGTAAGGGTAAGAGGTCTAGGAAGCCCCTTGCACAGGGCCCAGGATGCAGAGACTGGCAGAGAAAATGCGAGCTATCCCTGCTTCTCTCGAGGGGCACTGGTGTTCTTTCCACTAGATGGCACTCCCTCCCACTCTGGGGGTAAAGTCTTCCCTTGAAGCACTCGCACGTCCATACAGCCCAGGCTCGTTCTTTCATTCGTGCGACAGGAGTTTATTAAATGCCCACTCTGTGCCAGGCACGGTCCCAGCGGCTGGGGAAGCCTCAGTGAACACGCCGGCAGGGTCCCCGTCCTCACCGAGCTTACGTTTTGGAAGGGGAGGCAGGCAATATGGCGGTCAGGCCTCTCCTGCTGCAAGCGCACAGCAGTCCTTGTCCTGGAGGTGACAGATGCAACAGGAGGAACAACAAAACCCACCAGACAAAATAGATCCAAGCTTGAAATCAACGAAGGAAACCCTCAGAAGCCATAAATAAAAGAACGACCTCCAACCAGAAGCCTGAGCCGGGCTGCCACGGAAGAGGTGCAGGTGTTCAAAAACGGGGCCCAGGTCAGGGTTCCCAGCTGGGGCTGCACCTCAGCGCCACCTGGAGGGCTTCTAGAGATGCGCAGGCCACACCCCAGACCAATCGCATCCGAGTCCGTGGGGCGGCGCCCAGGCACCAGTGGATTTTAAAGATCCACCAGTGAGTTCAGTGTGCAGCTGAGCTGGCCAGCGTCTTTGGTGTGTGGCTGGGGTTCTAATGCCTACTTGGGTCGGAGATGAGCTTCCCGTACAGGGCCGGAGTCATGAAGTTCTCTGGGGTTCTAATGCCTACTTGGGGCGGGGATGAGCTTCCCATGCAGGGTCGGAGTCATGAAGTCATGAAGTCATGAAAGGGGACCGGAGAAACTCCACCCCGAGCTAGACTAAAGGGGTAAAACACTGGCCGTCTACCTGGGGCTTCAGTGGACAAAGTGTCACCCGTGAGAATTCAAAGCTGGTCTGTGCCTCCTGAGAGTGCCAGGAAAGTGGTCACATTGCCAGCCTGTTGTCAGCGCCCAGAGCAGAGACATTAACAATAACCTTGGAGGGTGGCCCCTTCCACTGCCCAGGGCACAGGACACCACTATGGAAAACAGGCCCCCACTGAACATTCTAGAAGGGCGGGCAGACAGTAAACAAGGGAGCAAATATGTCAGTGTTTCTCAATTCTGGCTGTGCTCTAGAAGGAGCTGTTAACAGTTTCCAGAGCTATTGATTAAACTTATCCAGAGTGTGGCCTGGGCATTGGGATCTTTATGAAGTTTCTTAGGGTTGAGAACTAAAAAATAAATGAGGTAATTCAGAGAGTTTATATAAAAAGACCACCTAGCAGGATAATGTGATATGTACTAGAGAGTAATTAGCTGAGGGAGACCAGGGACGGACTCCCCAGGGGGTGACATTCAATTTGAGACTTGAAAGATGAGGAGGAGGCAGCTTGCAAGGAGCTGGGGAAGAGCTTTCCAGGCAGAGAGGACAGCAAGTGCAAAGGCCCTGAGACTGGAATGAGTCTGAAAAGTTCTAGGAGAGGCAAAAAGGCCTGCGTGGCTAGAATGTAGTGATCCAGAGAGGAGGAGGTTTTAAGACCTTGTAAGCCACGGTAAGATGCTTGGAATTTTCTTCCAAGGGTGAAGGAAAGCCACTGACAGGTTTAAGCAGGGCAATTCCATGAGCAGAATCTGGAAACCTCACAGCTGCACGCGTTGCATTTGCTCTACAGCCCTGAACCTCTCCCCTTCTCTCTACCCAGCTTCTCTCTCCACCCCATCTGTTACTGGCATTTTCACAGTAACTCCATGAGGGAGGTAGCCTACTTAGGTGTCTTCTCCACTTTACAAATGAGGAAGTGGCCTCGTCCATGTCTCCTGAGCATTTGAGTGGCAGACTTCTGGATCATCTGTTACCAGTGTCAGAGCTCTTGCCCAGAGATGCTTGTGAGCATGAGAAGCAGCCACAGTTGTGATTTCAGCAAGTTACACTCTTGCCAGCCTTGGCCTTTGGAATGGGAAAGCACAATCTTGCCTTTCCTTGAGCAAAACAGCTCACCCCAGAGTAGTCTTCTTTGCAACATTTGGCTTCCATGAAGTGGTAATTATTCTGGTGAGCCAGTCATCCCTTCACAGACTCTGTCAAGCATCTCCACTGTGACAACCTCATTTTAGAAAATGAAGATGCTTTGAACTAAATGGAAGGGGTGTTTTGCAGAGCCAACCCCGACTTGACTCACCTCAGTGTTTGGCACTGGAGTCTGCATTCCTCCTCATCGGCTGGGCCTGCCGTGCTAGGGACCACGTGGCCCAGGGCAGTGTCCCCACTGCTTGGCTGTCAGTTCCTCATTTTCTATTAATTCCCCAAGGGCTGGCTGCTCAGAGCTGGCACTGTGTCAGTTTCAGAGAAGCCTCTTTAATATTTGAACATGTTGTCATGGCTGGAGCATTTGGGGTCTTTCTTGGCACAGTTTTTGGAACCTATTGGGAGCCCCATTTCCACCTCAGGTTCTAGGGGGAGGTGGGATGGCTGAGGAAGTGGTGAGGAAGACTGAGAAAGGCCACAAGGGACCTTGAGTGTCCTTGTTGGGTGGTTCTATTGGGCTTTAGCTACAGACAACTGGGGTGATTCTAGACAAACTGGGTGATCTGGAGCTGGATGGCTCAATGCATTGTGTGTGGAAACTGGCCCCACCACGTGTATTACTAGGGATGGAAATGAAACTCCTACCCTCATCATGAAGCCCAAAGGTGACAAAAACACTGCTTCTAGACAGTAACCATGGAAACCTCCCATTGTGGTGGATGGGCCATCACCAGAATAGAGCCCCTTGTTTTTTTGCTTCCCTGAGGGATGGCATAGAGTACTCCCCATCCTCCTCCCTTCCTGCCATCTCGCCGCATTGCCCCAGGTCAGGGCTCAGGTATCCAGGAGCTGCTGGCAGTTATCTCTCTGGGCTCACCCTGCTCTTGGTGGATACCAAGGGGAAGAGCCCTGGAGAGGGAAGGCAAAAGGGTGGGGATGAAGACAGGAAGAGAGGATGACATCCAGCAATGCTGGTGAGAGACAGGAGGGCTGGGGCAGGCTGCCGGTGTCATTGGGGATGCTATTAAGGGCATTCATGAGGCAGCACACACGTCTGGAGTCCCATCTGACTGGCATCAACAAACGTCCCTGTTCCATACATTCTGGAAGGGGAACCTTAATTAGGCATGAAGAGATTTATCAAACAGCAGCCCCTTGGAGCTGTTGGTCTCTTTGCCATCTGGACAGATGGTTTCCTACCCTGCAACAACAGCGGCGGGAATGATTTATGAGGTCCCGCAGCTCCACACCCTGGGCCTGGCAAAACCTGAATGGCTTTTGTCCTTCCCAAAAAGGAGTGCAATTTTGCCTGTGTTGATGGGCACATGAGCTGGGGTTCATGCTGAGGTTCGCCTGATTCTGTGAAGGCGATGCCCAGATCGTGGCAGCCAGGACGCTGCTCAGGGTCAGTTTTCAGTTAACAGTGAGCCAACCACAAGGATTAACAGAAAAAGCCCTGGAGTGGGGATGAGAAGACGTGCGTGCAAATTCTGCCAAAGAGCTCTGTGGCTTCATGTGGTTTTTTGCCTCAATTTTTTGACCTATACAATGGGGATAATGATTTCTGCATCTGCCCAACTCACATGATTTTTTTGGAGGTTCTTGTGACATTGTGGATGCAAACTGTCTTCATTAATTATACAGCCCATAACAGGCATTAAGGATTTAATCCAACAAACATTTATTGAGCAACTGCTGTGTGCTATGCACCACCCCTGGTGCTGTGATGGACACAGATGAATAAAACACAGTCCCTGCCCTTGGTGAGCTTACAGTCTAAAAACAGTCATAGGACAAGTGCACAATAACTATAATACAAGGCAGAACATGGTTAGCGCCATGAGAAAGGGACAAATAAAGTGCTATGGTGGTTCAGCGGAGGGAGAGATCCTAGTGGTTGGTAGATCAGAAAGGGCATCATGAAAGATATGGTTTCTGCAGGGCCTTAAAGGAAGTAGAAGAGAGTGTTCCAGGAGATGAGAAGAGCAAGACCAAAGGCACAGAGACAGGAAAACCGGTCACCCCTTCCTTCCAGGAATGACACTAGTCTAGGTGGACCAGTGCAGGAGATAAAGGAAGAATGGGGCCTTATTGGGTGGTCTGTAATGTCAGAATGAAGACTTGTATATCATTTTGTGGGTCAGGGGAATTTTTAAACGTTTGTGGATGCTGGAGATAAAAATTGCTCTGTACGTTGAGGATGGTCTGGAGAATGAGCAAGCGTGCCCTGAGGAAACCTGGGAGAGGAGACTGTGCTGAAATTGCCCATGCCACAAGAAGGCAAGGGCAGTGCCAGCAGGAATACATGGAGGAGTCCCAGAATTGGGTGGTTGAGAGGATCACGGGTCTTCTAACAGACAAAGGAGGGATCGTGGAGGAAGGGGAGGCAGAGATGATAAACTTGGCTTCACATGTGTTGAATCTGTGACACTGCCAGAGCACGTGGGGCGAACATCCAACGAGCAGTGTGCAGTCTGAGCCTGGAACTCGGGAGACAGGCTGGACTGCAGGAAGTGTAGAGGGTGGACCCCCAGCAAGGTGTGAGGTTGCTGAAGGAGAATGTAGAGATGTAACGAAAGGGGGCTGAGGAGAGGACGCCAATGAGGGGAATGTCTATGTTGTGGGGCAGGAGGAGAGGGGGTCAGATCTACCTTGGCTCCTTTTTAGATAAGGTAAGAGTGTCAATAAATAAATCATAAATAAATAAATAAATAAATAAACAAACATATAAATAAATGACAAATAGGCATTGGGAAGAGAGGAGAAAGACCACGAGAACATGGCATCCTGGGCACCAAGGGGACAGGTAGTGTCCAGGAGGGGTCACTGTAGGGCCAGGCGATGCAGAGAGCTCAGTGATGAGAAGGGGACCTTGGACGTGGCCGCAGAGAGGACCCCAAGTTGCTGGTCCCGGGAGCACGGAGTCTGAGTGGGGGTCAGGAGGAAAGGCAGAGCAAGCCCCGAGCCCCCCTCCCAGGTCTGGGTGAAGGAAAGGTGAGGGAAGAGGCCGCAGGAGTCAGGATGGTGGAGTGAGTGTGTGGATAGAGAGGAGAGAGGCGGCAGAGTGGCTGAGGGGGTAAGAGAAAATGTCACTGGCAAGAGGATGGACGTTGCTTCCTCAGAAATGGGAGGAAGAAGGGGAGAGAGGAGGGAAGAGATCAAGAGGTTTTGAGCAGAGGACTCATTTCAGAAGCTCCGCCTCTTCAGCAAAGGAGGAAGTTGATGGTGGGGGTCATTTGCGGCTTAAGGCGAATGGAGAACATCTGAGGGGCTTTGGGGTGGGTGATGGCGGGGTGATTGGGGACTGGCTGATGGTTAACTGGTGACTGAAAGGGTGGCCTGGCTGAGACTGACTGACCCCCTGCTCCTGGGATGCCTGTGACAACTGTAATTACAAGGCAGCTGATCAGGGTACCAGGTACTGGCCAGGACTCCTCAGGGCCGCCCCGGGCTAGCTGGCCTATGCCAGAGGCTGCAGTGGAACCTTACTCAAACTGAGGTCTAAATAGGAGGGAAGGACAGGCTGCCTCCTGACTGCGCGTGCCCAGATGGAGAAGGACGAAGCGTGAGCGAAGCCAAGGCCGCTGGAGCTCCCGCCATCACACAGCCAAAGCATTCTGGCAGCACAGCACCCACGAGTTGGGGGATGATGACGTGTGGATTGTCCTGGATCTCCAGCATTTCTCCGGAGGGAACTCGAAGGCAGGTTGTAAGGGGTCCTTCCACTTCAACTCCCATCAGTTTCAGTTCAAGGAACCAAGATGGGACAGAAAGAAAACCATGTTTTCCAAAGAGCTCTGGCCCTTAAACTCCCCAGGGAGGGGTGCTGGCAGGTAGACAGAGGGCAGGGCCAACTGCAGGACCTGACCTCAGGGCTCCCCTCAGGACACACCACTGGAATGTTCTGGAATCCAAGGCCTTGGCTAATCCACCGAGGCCCTTCTGGCAATTCTGCCTGTTACCCAGAGCACTGCAAGCTTCAGAAATTAAACATCTTCTAGGGCCTTTGAGATCCTCAAGATGAAAGGCTCTGGAGAACTGTAAAATATGATACTAATTATTTCCACTTCTGTGAGGAGTCCAAACCACTCAGTTCCCACAGAGGCTGTTAGGGCTGTTGCTTTTTTAAATATTCATTTTATAATGCAAGTCTCAAATCTCAAACTTCAAGCATCCACAAAAAGAACAACAAGGAAAGAAACACGGAGCTGTATAATCTGGTTTGGAGCTGGAGCTTCCGGGTACGGGGTTAATGGTTCTGAAGATCCTTCCACCACCTCCCTTTGCTTCCCATCAGCCATTAATTTAGAGCAAATGTCCCGTTCTGAATTGCCGTTGATTAATTATGTCCAGTCTCATATGCTTGGGAGCAGATCTTGATTACTTTTCTTAACTCCCTTCACCTTCAAGATAATGTTTTTTTACTTAACTTTCAAATATGTTTTAAAACACTGTTATTTATCGGGTGAGGGAATGCATCTAACAAATCAAGCTGGCTAATGCTTGTCTATATGTGACCTGTGATTACAGCCCCTAAGTTATTGGCACTGAGCCCAGATTGCCCCAGGGAGGTTATGTCCAGTATTTGGATACCGCATTTGGCTTTGGGTTAAAAAGAAAAAGCCGTAACTATTAATCTTAATAGGGAAAAAAAAAGATTTTGCAAAATTCTAAAATCCTTGCCTCCGTGGGGAGAGGGAGGGAGGAGTGGACACCGGAACCTCTCCCTGCAGAGCTGAAAATCTCAATATTGGAGCTCAGTGCCAGCTAGTGTGACCATTAGGATAGAAAAATGACAAGAAAGTGACATTGACACAGCAGTCTGGCTGCAGAGGCCCCGTGGAGTGCACAATGCAGAAAGCAAACAGAGTTGTTGCAGAGAAACGGAGCTAGATGCTTAACATTCTTTCAAGTCTCACACTCTGGGGCTCTGGAGGTACCCAGAAAGGCAATCATATATATTTTAAAAAGGATGACATTTATCTTTGCAGTGCCCTTTCAAGCTTTTGCTGTGGTTTCCCTGGTGGCAGAAGTGGACAGTACAGTCCCTCATGTGACATTCTAACAAGGCAGGAAGGAGGCTAACCCTGAAGATGAAATCTCAGGGTCCCTTCTTCCTTAGCAGACTCAAGTTGCTTTAAAGAACGCCCACCGCCAACCACCACACTTTGGGCACTCTTCTGCCTTATTCTGGGGTGGAGCGCCAACCCTTAGCAGGAGGTCGCGATGTTTCAAAAACACGATTGGAACACCCCAGCTCTTTAGTGTCATCTGTCTGCTCCATCCCAGGTTCTTGGTGGTTCTTGCTAAGCTAGAAGATGAACTATCCATCTTGCCTTCTCCAGCCTTCTCTCCATAGCTGTGGAGGCCCAGCTGGGGCAAGTGGGTCAACTGTGATTCATCCCTTGGGCAGTTAAAGTTCGTGGAACAAGGTCCTCAGCTGCGATGTGGTCTCTGCTTCTCGTGTACCTGTGCTCCTTTGCTGGGCTGAATGCTCCAACCTCCCTCTCCTCCGTGAACAGCACCGTTTTAGAGTTGGGTTAGCTTGTCCCTTCTGGGTCTTGGCTCACCCAGAATCCACATTTCTCAGAGGCTCGGGGCAGCTGCCAACAGGTGGCTCTCCATTCATCCATGAGCCCAAAGATCCCTCCAACCCAGGAGCCAGTTTGTCATCCAAAGTCACAAGACTGGCTTCTGTTCATGTCTAGTCCTTCTGCCCCCAAAGATGGACTGAGTTTCAATCCAGTTCGAGTGGGTTCTCCACACCTTCTTCCTGTGGCTTATCTGCCTAATGCTAGATGAACACCACACAGTTATAAATACTCAGGTCAATATATATATGCAGGTATAGATATATATATTCTGGTCACTGTTTTACACTTGAACAAAGAAAACCACTAGCCTGCTTGTTCTATAGTTTGTGCCACCCCGACTCCCATCCGCCTGTGGTGTAGCTGGCAGGAAATGTGAGCCACTGAGTCCCACGGGCCGCCCACCTTACGTGGCCCCATCACACTGGCCCACAGTCAGTTTCAAAGCCCCCTGCTCATGCAGGCTTTTGAGGGCCTTGAACTCCAAGGGCATGGTGTGGGGGCTGGCCTGGGAGGTGTAGCCATACTTGAGGCTGTCATAATAGTGGTACTTGACGGGGTTCTGGTTCTGATCCAACGGGAAGGGCCAGAAGCCATAGAGGTAGATCTGGTTGCAGAAACGTGTGGCTAGGGTATACATCAAGAGGCCAGTCGTGGGTCTTTTGATGTGGACTTTGTTGGTCAGCCAGTAACTGAAAAAAAAAGTGAAGAAACAAACAAAAAAGAAACATGAGTTTGTGAATTATCCTTTCCAGGAAGAGGAAAATTTCTGGAAATTCTCTTGCCCCACAGCCTGCCTCCTCCCACTCCAGGAACCGTAGAGACCAACTGAGCAACTGATTCCCAGGGCCCTTCACGGAGGACTGGCGACCACCATTTATTAAGCAACGGAATGGCTCCTTATGCTGTGTGCTTTCACATACATGATTTTATGGAAACAAAATAGGTACAGATGCAGACATAGGCCCAGAGATGAAAGTGGCTTGGCCAAGGTCACCTAGGTAGAAAGGGCAGGACCTCGACTTGAGCTCAGGCCTGTTGAAATCTAAAGCTGGGGCTGGCAAACTTTTTCTGTAAAGTGCCAGATGGTAAATATCGTTTGCTTTGTGGCCAAATGGTTTCTGCTGTTGTAGCATAAAAGAGTCACAGACAACATCCATGCGTGTGCCAGGCTTGGCGCTCAGGCTATAGTCTGCCGCCCCTCTCTCCCCCTCCGATAAAGGGTCGACTCTTGCACGATGCCCACTGCCTTCCCTTTGCAGAGGGGTGCTTCCCTTTGCGTCTGTACCCCAACTCCAGCAGGGACTGACTTCCTTACCTCTTGAGCATCAATGAATTTCCTTCCCATCCCTGCCCACAGGACCCCCACCCTCTGATGCAGGTTGCTCATCTCTGACCACATGGGGCTTCCCTGAAGAGCTGAGGGGGCACCAGACAGTGGTCTGCCCTGCGAGGCTGGGTTCTGCCACATTCTGTCTTCTCAAGGCCTGTCACTGTGTTTGGCGTATCCACCTCTGAAATGGGAGTCCCTCTTCCTGCCTCAAGGAATCTGAAGGGATAATGAGAGGAGACACAGAGAAGTGGAAAGAGCGTGGCATTAGGCTAAGGGGTCCCTGTGCTGAGTGAGGCGCTGCGCTACCTCTGTACATGGGGGGACTTAGTTTTTCACATTGATGCAATGATGGGCCACAGACCAGGGGACCTCCAAGATATCCTCCACATTCCAACACGATCTAGAAGTTTCTCCAGAAGTGAGAAAACATCCATTCTATTTGCTATCATTCCTGCTTTCCATTGTGGTTCTTATCCTGCTTGGATTTAGAGCTCACTGGGATGTGTGGTCCAACCTCTTTGTTTCTAGCAACAGCTTCTACTTACCCTATGCTGAATCCCTTTAAATGCAATGCATATGCTTTGTGGAAAGATGTAATTCCTTATCACAACTCCTTACTACTGTGTGTCTACACCAGACACTGTCCACATTTTTCTGTTCTCAAACCCTATGGGCTTCCATCCCATGTGCTCCCATTTGCCACTGTGAAAGACATCCACTCTCCACCTGAAGCGCAGGCCAGCACAGTTCCTGATGACCCCCTAGCACAGCGATGTGTGTGACTTTATAGTCAAACACATCAATTAAGTTCATGCCAGAAGTAAAAGTACGCCAGACAGAACATGTACGTATATTGCCGAAAGCTTAAACTGTTTCACATTATTCACACTGCTTTTAGCTCAAAGTTTGGGTGGGTGGGGGGGCAGATTTTCTAGAAGCTCAAGTAAGTCCTTCCTTTTGCAAGAGGGTCCTTCTGTAGTTCCAAAAAAGAGAACCCCAAAACATTTCAGAGTCAACCTTAAATCCTTTATTTTTTGGAGGAGGCATTAGCCTTTGCATCAGACAAGGTTACAGATTCCTAATAACCCATATAATTTCAGTAAATCATGTAATACTTGATATAATAAAACTTATTTCAAGGATCCCTCCCACCGCAACCCGTCTGTCAGGCTGGGGTGATCTGAATCTCCCTTTTGACATTGCCGATGGTGGCCTTCATCCCAGATGGCCAGAATCAGAGTGAACGTGAACTCCCTCTGGGGTGGCCCCTAGACAACCGTCGTCTCCTAAGCCTGTTGGTTGAAGACACTTTTCCTTGCACCTCATCCTATTTCATCCTGTCTGGGCCAAGAAACTCCCCTGCAGCTGAATTTTCCAACTCGGAATCAGATAGAGGGGCCAAAGGCAGAGAAGAGGACAATGGCTCCAGTGATGGCAAACACAATGGAAAAACAATAGGACAAAGCATTTGTGGACACACTGCAGACCTTCGTCTTTTCTTCTCCGCACCGTTGAGAAGCTTAATCGCAGCTAATACGTAGGAGGCATGGTGCTGGCTCGGGGGAATGCTTGATGCTGAGGTTGGGGCTTAGCAGATAAAGAGCCCTTCCTTAGACCACCTCAACACTCGTATGCTCAACAAAGTTGAGCTGAGCTTGGGAGGACCCTGGGGGGCAAAGGCAGGGAGAGTGCAAGGAGGCGAAGAATCTCAGAAGAGCAGCAGCTGATGTTTGGATGCTCCCACACATCCTGGCAAAGTGCTCATCCACCTTGGCTTAACCACCTCCAATCACGGGGAGCTCACCCCCTCCTGAGCTAGTTCACTGCATTTTCGGCTCTAACTCAATGGTTCTCACCCAGGCTGCACACTGGAGTCACCTGGAGCTTTAAGAGGACGGATCCTGGGGCCCACCTCCAGGTGCAGCCTGGACACCGGGATTTTTAATCCCCCCCACCAGTAAGTCAAATGTGCAGACAAGGCTGCTCTAACTGGTAGGTAGTTCTGCCAAAAGAAGCCAAGAATGAGACATACTTAGAGAAAAAGAGGGACAAAGAATAAGCATAAAGAATAATCATAGAGTTTTAAAGATGATTAAGCCTGGAGAACTCATCTAGTCCAGCGGCCTGGCAGGAGCTATAACTGAGCAAGTTGGGACATGTGTAAGGAACACCAACACCTGGCCTCAGTGTTGCCAAGGCAATAGGGAGTGGTGGGGACTGCAGCATCTAAAAGAGTAGCCCGTTTTATTGTTGTCCATTATGGTGATGCCAAATTTTCTGATTTTTTTCAAGAGTATCAGAAATCTGGATTTTTATGCAAATTCTCCAAATTTTTAAATGTTGGCAACTAATTAAAAAAATTTTTAAAAACACCATGTGAGGCCCTGAGTCAAACAGACCATGTCTGTTGGTAATCCACAGGTCTCCTGAATTGAACTAGTCCTTTTTCAGTTTACAGAGGAAAATATGGGAGTCCAGGGTGATTTACCTAAGAAGAGGCAAACTTCTCATGCAGCTGGTTAGATAGAGCTTGGGGAAGATGCAGCCTCCCCACTGCTGGCTCTTGGGCCTTTTTCACCCCAGGGTGATTCTGGGAGGGTCGGGGCTGGGAGTGAACTGGCTACAGCTGCTGTTGACACTATCCAGGGACACGTGAGACCCTGGCAGTGTCCCCAGATGAGAGCATCTCACTGACCGTTCACTCCCTGAGCAAATGTAAGCCCTAACACCGGCTACACTCCATATTAGGGATTTGTGGTTTGTTTATGTTCTGATAGTAAGACTCTAGCAGGGGAAGGCTTTCAGAAACGAATTTCTCTTCAGGCCATCAATGCTAGGCCAAGAGATGGGGAGGGAAGAATTTAATCAGTGGTGAAATGTCCAAGTAGCTCACAGGTGGGTCTCAGGTTACAGACACACGCTGTGCCCTCCTTGTAGATGTGTCTTCTCCCCACATGTCCCCTTGGTGAACTCTCTTTTTATCCCTCAAACTAAGCTCATGAATCACATCTTCCTGGAAATGTTCCCTTTGTTCCACCCTCTTCTCCCCAGCTTAAACTGAGTTAATCACTTCCACCTTATCAGCATGAGCTTTGTTTCTGCTTCTCCTATTGTGCTTATCAACCAGGCTGATAATTCATTATTGTATGGGTCGGTAATCTGCACTGTGATCTCCCCAAGGGCAGGGGCCGTGCCTTACACTCCTTTGTAGGGGGTTCAAAGGCACCTGGATGGATGTGCGGTGCAGCCAAGGCACGGCAGCAGAGACAGCAGAGCTCAACTAATACTCTATCTGCTCTCCTACATCTCCCAGCATCTTCTGTAATTGGACGGGGGTCATGTGACCAGTTCTGGCCAATAGGCTGTGACAGAAATGTGTCTCTCCTGGGCCAATGTTCCTCAAGACCAGGTCCTCTGCCTTTCTCTTCCTCTGCCCTGGAGAACTTCAAAGCCTCCTGTAAAGATGGTGTCAGCCTAGGAGGGAAGAATCCTAGATCCCTGAGTCACTCATTGGAAGAGAGGCCCTGCCAACCTACATCACACTTTGCAAGAAGCAGAAATAAACTTCTGTGGTGCTAAACCACGAGGGTTTTGGGTTTGTTAGCGTAGTGTAGACTAGAATTGATTATCCTGGCTTCTATTGCGCTCAGCAAATGTTTGACTCAAATGGGATTGAAAAATGGGAAGAAGTAGAAAAGAAAGGAGGAAGCTAGCAGCGCACACAGCTTTGTAACTGTGGCCGCTGGAGCAGGACCAGAAACGCCCAGCCTCTCAGATCTGGTGCCAGGCTTTTCAGCAAGAATCGCTCACTGGGAAAGGTGTTAGCAGCAAATGAGGCTCCAGAATGAATTGAGAGCTCAGTGGCACGGAGGGACCCACTTATTTCTTCTTCTGTCTCCACGGGTAAACAAGAACTCCTGAGCGATGTCTGACAGGGACACCGGGGCGCCATTTAATGAGCAGCTTGTAATAGAAGCTGACTGAGTTATGCAGGAACAAATCACTCTCGATTTCCTTTATATCGCCTCAGTCGCTCTGGCCAATTTAGAGACTGTGTGCGTGGCTGACTTGTAGACTGTTTCTTTCCTTAGGATAACAGCTGGATGTTAAAACACAAACTAATTAATTTTGCCTTCCCAAATGAGGTTAGCTGGGTGCATCTGGGATGTTGTAGTGACAATGCACCTTTAATATCCCAGTCTTAAGATTTTAATTAGAAGGCAAAGTAATCTCAAAGAAGGCAGTAATTATTTTTCAAATTGGTTACCCCAATTGCCAAGACGATTAAGTGCTGTATTTTATGAGCACGGACAGCAATAAATGAGGATAGCCAAAATCTTCTCGAAAGCACACTCATCC